CAACAGCCACGACAATGGACTCAAACATCCCAGTGACCATGACGATGGCGCAGGGCCAGGCCACCGTTCAACAAGTGTTCTGTGGTTGGCAGCCGAACACATCCTACTGATACTTCGTGAAACATAAAGCATGTAAATGTCTCTTAAATCTTACCTCTACCCCTCTATCTTGCACGTGGCTCTACATAGATAGACACTAAATACTTAACTTTCCCCATAGATCTCTTGCCCACCTTATATACTACATAAAAGTCCAGGCTTCACAGTATTTTGTAATATGATAATCGATTAAATCTTTTATTCTCGGTTGTCCAAGGCTAAACAATGCCAAACACTTACTTTACAAAGCAAATATTCTGAGGTATACTGTGATTAAAAACAAGCATTTTAATTTTCATATTAAATCAGTGCCTGAATAATCTCTTTCAACTATTTAATTACAGTCACACTGGATTCAAACACCTCTATAGGAAGCAAGTATACTGTCTTGGTCAGAACTGCTGACTCTGGAGTCAGATGCTCTGGCCTCAAAGAACAAATGACATAGTTAATATAAACTTATCAGTACAGTGCCTGGTACATAATAAACCTTTTATAAATATTTGTATTGTGATTAGTCCACATGTTATGGACTGAATTGTGTCCCCCAGTATTTGTGAGCATGACCTTGTCTGAAAACAGGTTCTTTAACGACGTTATTCATTAAGTTAACGTGAGGTCATGCGGGAGGAGAGTGGTTCTCAATTCGAGACAAGTCGTGTCCTTATGAAAAGAGCAGAAAAGACACAGAGACACACACAGAGGACAGTCAGCCAAGACCGAGGAAAAGACTAGTGAGATCCATAAACCAAGGACCACTACGGACTGCCAGCCATCACAGAAGCTAGGAGAGAGGCATGGAACAGATTCTCCCTCATAGGGACTCAACATGGCCAATATCCTGGCTTTGAATACCTAGCCTCCACAACTATGAGACAATATACCGTTCTTATAAGCCACCCAGTTTGTGATGCTTTGCTAGGGTAGCCCTAGGAAACTAGCACAGATTTTGGTACCAAGAACTGGAGTGCTGCAGTAACAAACACCTAAAAATGTGGAAGCAGCTTTGGAAACAGATAATAGGTAGAAGCTGGAGGAGTTTTGAGGCACTTTATAGTAAAAGCCTAGATTGCCTTGAAGAGATTATTGTAGAATTATGGACGTTAAAGGCAATTCTGGTAAGATTTCCTAAAGAAGGAGACTTGTAGAGAAAGCTTCTATAGTGTTTGAAAATACAGACACACCTACCCCGTGTTTTTACGCAAATAACAGGCACCTTCTACATTTGTTTGCCAACCATGCCCTCTCCCTGCAAGGTAAACAAACTGGAAGAGTGGCGCTTACAAAAACACCGTGCAGGGGGCAGGGCACGGTTGGCAAACAGACGCAGAAGGTGCCTGTTACGTGTGTAAAAATACGGTATATACCATCAAAAACAGAATGTTGCTAGAAATAAGGATGGTAAATGTGTTTCCATTGTGGCTTTAGATGAAAGGAAATGATGACTATGTTACTGGACGCTGGAGGAAAAGCAATTCTTGTTACACAGTGGCAAAGACCTTGGCTGAAGTATGTTCAAATGTTTTATGGAAAGTAAAACTTATAAGTGATAAACTTAGATATTTAGCGGAGCAGATTTCTAAGTGATACCAGAATAAGGTGGTTCCCAGTCCTAATCTCTTCTGAGTGGTGTCTTATAAAAGCGGAGAACAGACAGAGGGAGAGACACACAGGGGTGAGACACCATGTGACGGTGGAGGCATATGCATCTACGATCAGCAAAGGAATGCCAAAGATTGCCAGGAGAAACAAGGGGAGAGACGCAGAATAGTCCCTACCTTAAAGCCCTCGGAAAGAATCAAAATGGCTAATACTCTGATTTGGACTTTTAGCCTGCAGAACTGTGAGAAAATAAAATTCTGTTCGTAAAGCCACCCTCTTTGTGGTATTTTGTTATGGCAATCCTAGGGAACTGAGACACAGCCTAGGAAACGGAAACAGTTAAATAACAACATACCTTTACAAGGGACTATTTGTAATCATCACAAATCATATTTCAGAAGACCATCTACTGGTACCAGCAAATGTCCAAATATAGTTAAGTGAAGAAAGGAGGATACAAAACCATGAATATGGCATGTAGAGGGTACACAAAAATACTTTCTGAAGGTTGCTGAATAGTACAGTCCTAATTTTTTAAATATATACACATATAACAAATATGCACATATTTACACAAAATAAAAGGAATGAAGTAAATTGCAACAAAGTGTTAACTGTTCTTCATCTGGGTGATTTTTTGTATTTTTTAAATTTTCTTCCTTAAGTGGGTATTAGAATTAGAAAATTTCAAAAAAAAAATTAGGTTCTTCTAGCAACAGCTTCAATTTCTTCAATTCAGGTCTGTAATCCTTCAGTTAGTAAACAGCACTGAATACTTCAGAAATGCCAGGTCTCTGTCTATTTATATGATACCCTTCTCCTGGGCTCTTACCTCGATTTTATTACTGAAACATTGATTAGCTATGTGGATACAAAGTACCAGCTTCTGAGACACTGTGGTACAGGAGCCTGGCAAACTGTAACCCTCAGGCTGACCATCACCGATTAACAATAGCAGAGTTGAGTACTTTTGACAGAGACCATATGGCCTAAGAACCTCAAATATCTACTACCTCGTTCTTAAATAAAGTTTGTTGATGCCTGCTGTGCTGGATTCAACATGGCCCCAAATTCTTTGCCAATTCTTCCAGGAAATCATGAAGTCTATTTCCCCTTCCCTTTATTCCGGTTGGGCCAGTAACTTGTTTTGACCACCAGAATGTAGCAGAAGTTACACTGGCTAACTTCAGAGATTAGACCTTAGAGAGATCTACAGCTTCCTCTTTTGTATACTCGGAGCACATCCTCTTAGAAACCACTATCACACACGAAGTCTGACTACCCTGAGATCATCATGAAATCCGGAAGCTCAAGCAGCCAGATGGAGAGGCCCAAATGGAGTAGATCCAGCAAGTGAGCGCAACTACTCTGGAGCTCCGGATGTCAGAGCACCCTGCTGAAGAACTGTCTAGGAACACACGGAATTATGAGAAATAAGGAATTTTTACTGTTGTAAGTCACTACGTTTTAAAGTAGTTTCAAGCAGCAATAAATAACCAAAACAGACACCCTCCTCACGTTAGTCAGTCTGAAGACAATTGAGATGTGTAAAAACCCAAAAACTCATTGTCACTGAGTCAATTTCGACTCATAGCGACCCTACAGGACAGAGCAGAATTGCCCCATAGGGTTTCCAAGGCTGTAAATCTTTATAGAGGTAGACTGCCACATCTTTCTCCCACAGAGCGGCTGGTGGATTCAAAACACCAACCTTTAGGTTAGCAGCTGAGCACGCTTAACAACCGTGCCGCCAGGGCTCCTTAGACGTGTAAGGGAAGGTGCCATTTCCTTTCAACAGAACTTCAGAACTTACTCTTCATACTACAGATCAATCCCACCCTATCGCAAGCTGCCAGGACCCCTTCCCATTCCTATTTAAGAGACTGTTCACTTCCTCCTACTGCCTTTCGATTAAGATTACAGCCAAGAAAACTCTATAGCGTTCAGTCCACTCTGTTAACACACAGGATCACCATGGTTCCTCATCAACTCAATGGCAACATAAAGGGCCACAGAGCTATTTATACAAAGAAAAAAATGGGGAGGCTGTTAAATTGCACTAATTTTTCAAATTATGAATGCAAGTATTTGTCTGGCTTACCAGTTTATATTTAAAATTAGGAAAAAAATATGATAAAGATGACAAATTACTATTAACAATAGCAAAATACAGTATTTATTCTTAAAATTCAGCTTTAGGACTTCAATTCTCAGCTAGGATGGAAAAACTTATATCAAAGCAATCAACCGAACAAAAATAACTATAAATGCTGAGTAAAATGAAAAAAAAAAAAAAAAATCAGAGCACATACAAGGCAGACAGAACTCGAGACACCAAGATTCTGAAAAGAAGTGAAACACAGAGAGGTAAATCCAACAATCTCCACCACTTTGCCCTTGAGCCATTTCCTGATGCATACACAGAGTGATGGAGAGGTCCAGCAGAAAGGTTGGGCACTTTGGGTAATCTCAGGGAGTCCGGCAGATTAAAGTTAGAGCTTAAAACCACCAGTGCAAAGTAGTTCCAACGTCATTATTCTGGAGATAAGAGACAGAGAAGTTCATTCTATGCTACTTTGCCCCTCAAGGTATTTACAATGTCTAAACTGCATGGGCAAGAAGCTGAGAAGGCAAGCAAAGAGTACAACTGTCAGCAATCTCAATATGCCACAAAGACCAAAACTAATTTTCACTGTTCAACGAAGAGGAGTCTTAGCTAAAAACCTCAGGCTTTCTACTGAATCCTCAAGGGCGATGCCCTAAAACTAAGGGTGAACTAAAAATAGGTCAGTCCTCAGAAAGTCTGAAACTCAGCTGGAAATTCTCTCAAGTTAATTTACTTTAAGTCTATATAAACAACCAAAACCAAGTTCACTGCCATTAAGTTAATTCTGACTCAGGGTGACCTCATGTTTTATAGAATAGAAATGAACTCCATAGGGTTTTCTTGGTAGTAATCTTAACGGAAGCAGCTCACCAGGCCTTTCTTCTGCAGTGCAACTGGGTGGGTTAAAACCATCAACCTTTAGGTTAATAGTTAAACTCGAACCATTTGTACCAGCTAGGGACCTTCCAAACCTACATACATGCCAGAAAAGCAATTAAATCCACACTGGTAAAGACAACATCGTACAGAGCTTCTACAATTCTTCTGTATACAAATGTCCAGCATTCAATCAAAAATAACCAAGCCTACCAGAAGTCAGGGCCAAAAAACCAAAAACCTCAATAAAACAACGTATATGTTTATTAGATACTCATGACTGAACATATTTAAAAAGTTGTAATGCCAAACTTACCAACTGCTGTGTCACCGTCTAACAAATTGTCATCTTCAGAAGTCTGAAAGTCCATAATAACACCTGCTCCATCTAAAAGCTCCTCATCACTACTCGCACTTGTTATACTGTTGTAGCTGTTTCTATAGTAGCCTCTATGGAACAGCTGCTCAGACTCCATTTAGCTGTCTGATTATCTGAAGAAAGGGAAAAAAATGGATTTAACACTTTCCCAATACGTAATAAAAATCATCTAGTTTAATATCACAGAAAAATTTAATGATCTCTGTATTTTAAAAAATTCTACATTCATTCACTGTAGCAATACCTAATTCTATTATGCTGAGTATTTTGGGATGATTAATGATTCTATTTTCACTATGCGGCTGTAAAAAAGAATGAAGAGTTTCTTCATGCAAAGGTGTAAAACAGTCTCCAAGATCAATCACGTCAAAAGACATAAAGTACAGAGAAGTGTTTACAGTATGCTGTAATTTATGTTTGGTTGTTTGTTTTTTGCCAAACGGAAAAATATAATCCATACTTGCTTTATGTACGTACAGACTATTTCCGGAGGGATTTCCAAGACAGTGGCAACAATGACCACCCACAGGGAAAGGAGCATGGTGGCTAAAGCACTAGGGCTAAAAGGGAGACTTTTATTGTACACCCAGCTGTCCTTTTTGAGTATTTTGCCAAGTGCAAGTACTGCCTATTTTAAAAATTACTACTGTAGAGGGCTGTGGGGACCATGCTCTCAGGGAACATCTAGCTCAACTGGCATAACACAGTTTATAAAGAAAACGTTCTACATTCGACCTTGGTGAGTAGTATCTGGGGTTTTAAAAGACTGTGAGCAGCCATCTAAGATACTCCACTGGTCTCACCCCTTCGGGAGCAAGGGCGAGTGAAGAGAACAAGAGACAAGGAAAAGATTATTCCAAGGGACTAATGGACCACAGCTACCAAGGCCTCCACCGGACTGAGTCCAGTACAGCTAGATGGTGCCCGGCTACCACCACTCACTGCTGACTGGGATCACAACAGAGGGTCCTGGAGAGAGCTGGAGAAGGATGTAGAAGAAAATTCTAACTCACAAAAAAAAAGACCAGATTTACTGGCCTGACAGACTGGAGAAACTCCGAGAGTATGGCCCCCGGACACCCTTTTAGCTCACTGGTGAAGTCACTCTCGAGGTTCACCATTCAGCCAGGGACTGGATAGCCCCATAAAACAAAACGGGACTACTGAGGCACAGCAGTCCAGGGACAAGGACTAGAAGGCAGGAGGGGACAAGAAAGCTGGTGATAGGGAACCCAAGGTTGAGAAGGGACAGTGTTGACATGTCACGGGGTTGTTAACCATTGTCATAGGGCAATATGTGTACCGTTTAGTGAGAAACTATTTGTTCTGTAAACCTTCATCTAAGGTACCAAAACAAAAGAATTATCTATGTGAAATCAAATTGACAACAGCAACTCAAAAGGTTTGATGGGAAGCCTAGGGGGCAGTGAGTTGAAGATAATGGTGATGGAATAATTTGGAAAAGGATACTGAGAATAGCAGTACAACTGGAACAACGTAATCAATGTCACTGAATTGTACATGTAGAAACTTTCAAAACGGTGTAACTTTGGCTATGTATATTTTCACCAAAAAAAAAGGTCTTCAGGGTGGAGAAGGGAGAGTGTTGACATGCCGTGGGGTTGTTAACCAATGTCATAAAACAATATGTGTACTGACTGTTTAATGAGAAACTATTCTGTAAACCTTCATCTAAAGTACAATAAAAAAATTCAAAAGAAAAAAAAAAGAGAAAAGCTCCTCCAAGGTTGAGAAGGGAGAATGTTGACATGTCACGGGGTTGTTAACCAATGTCATAAAACAATGTGTACTGACTGTTTAATAAGAAACTATTTGTTCTGTAAACCTAAAGTACAATTAAAAAAATTAATACTGTAAATGAAAAAAGTTTAATATTTTACCATTTTATCTCCTCTCATTAGTGAAAAATTTAAATCTTCAGAGCTCATGGTCATAAAAAATATGACAATGGGTAAAAATTTCCATCTGTTTAAAGCAAGTAAAATGAAGCAAGCATGTTTTTATTCTCACTGTCTATGTTCTAACAGTATTACTCCTAAAGAGCTTGGTTTTTTTAAATCTGTCTACCTACTTGCTCAACATCAAAATAAGAGTTCAATGTAAGTGTGGTGACACTAGTGAAGACTGTCGTGAATGACCGTAAAGCTGGCTCCAACTCTTAAAGACGCAGACTATAGACTAGGAGTAAACAGACTTGAAAGGGTCACGAGGAACTTGAAAGATACAAAGTCATAAAAGCAGCTGAACCAGTTGGTACACTTTACAAAACAAGACTCATCTGATGTATCATACACAGGGAAATCCATAGGCAAAATAAAAGATAAAGAATGGAATTAAGCATACTCCAATTCTAGTAGTGCTATAACGACCGAAGACTTAGAATTTTTCTAATGCCATCTCTTGTTCTCAATAAATCTCCCTTCTGCTATGGAAGAATAATAACCTCAGAGAGCTACAACAATTAAAATTATTTGTAAAGCTTTTAGAGTTCTTTTTAGAAAAATAAAATATTACTGATAATATCTACCTTCTTGACAGACTATATAAATTCCCTAATTAAAGTCCATGCTGGAGAAGGTGAAATTTTGGGTGTGCCTTGAAAGCATCTCTATATTCTCAGCATCTCCCACAGGGACTGTATAGTACACTCTGGGTGGATAATAAATGTTAAATTGTTTATTCAATTAATGAGGTCAAAAAGCAAAATATATTCAATTTTCAACAAACAAATCCTCTCTACAACAGTATTAACCTGGTTATAGGAAATAACCAAAAACGAGCACATAAATCTCAAAGAAAAACAAATATTTACTGATTTGCAATTTCATTAATGTTTTATAGTTATTTGTACTAAAGAGACAGCCTATTATACTGAAATGTGTTTAAATGCATTAATTAAAGCAAAAGATTTACATTTAAGTACATATCATCTTAAAGTGGAAAGGTGTAAAAATAATTATTCATGCTAATAGCTTTGCAAATAAAGGCAACCAAATTAAATACTGTGACTTCTAAGTAAATAGTCATCATGCTTGGTAAAGTAGAAGGTCAGCGAAAAAGAGGAAGACCCTCAAAAAGATGGATTAACACAGTGGCTGTAACAATGGGCTCAAGCATAACAACCATTAAGAGGATGGCACAGGACCAGGCAGTGTTTTGTTCTGTTGTACAGAGGGTCACTATGAGTCAGAACTGACTCAACAGCACCTAACAACAACAATAACCAAGGAGCTTTTAAGAAAATAATTATTACTAGTTCAAGAATCGTTTTAATTTTGATATATCAAAACATGCACGCTGGGATTTTTCAAAGAACACGCATTACTTCTTCACTTGATAATCAGACTAAAACCAAAAGAAACTAAACTCATTGTCTTGGAGTGGATTCCAGCTCATAGTTACCCTATGCAACAGAGGAGAACTGCCCCACTGGGTTTCCAAGGAGCAGCTGGTGGATTCAAACTGCCGACCTTCTGGTTAGCAGCCGAGCACGTTTAACTACTGCGCTGGATGTACAGCACCGAGAAGTCTCCCCAAAATAATTAAACTTTTCAGTGTACTGGGACCTCAATCAGGAAGTTCCAACACATCTCCTCCATCTGATCCCTAAAAGTCCCTCAAAAACTGTTCAGTGATCATTGGAAACCTAACTCTTTGACACTTAAATTAATTTCACTAACACCTCTGAGATTTAATTTAACTCCAGTCCTTTCTTTATAACCAGAACACTCAACTCTGTTCCAAATAAATTAATTAAACTCAGGCCTGCATAGGTTAGCAATTCCATAAATTCAATTAGAAAAAAAAAAAAAAAAACCCATTGCTGTTGAGTCAATTCTGACTCATTCATAACCACCCTGCAGGACTGAGTAGAACTGTCCCATAGGGTTTCCAAGGCTGTAAATCTTACGGAAGCAGACTGCCACATCTTTCTCCCAAGGAGCAGCTGGTGGGTTCCAATCACTGAGATTTCGGTTAGCAGCCAAGCACTTTCACCATTGCGCCATCAGGGCTCCTTCTAAGTTCAATAGCTTAAGAAAAACAAAACAAAACAACTATTTTTCTTATGAACCAAGAAACCTACAGAGCTACATTGTCTGATACGGCAGCCACTAGCCACATTCGGTTCGTGAGCCCCTGAAACGTGGCTAGTTCAAACTGAGATGTGCTGTAAGCATAAACTTCCTACCAGACTTCTAAGAGGTAATGTAAAAAAAGCTAAGTATTTCATTAATAATGTTATATCAATTACACACCATATTTCAGACATACTGTGTTAAATGAAATATATTGTTAAAAAGAATTTCACCAGTTTCTTTTCACCTATTTAATGCGGCTACTAGAAAATTTAAAATTGTATGTGTAGCTCACATTTGTAGCAACATTGGTTTGAACAGCACTGCTATAAAATACTGAAAATTCTATGGCAGCATAAAGAAAATACAACAGAAGAGAGTCTGGGTATCAGTGTTAAAACGGGTTAGGTTCTAAACTTGGTTCCCACGCTTGCCCACAAAAGGCTATTTAAACCACAACACAGCAGCAAAACTTCACATACTTATCTGGACAAAAAGAGAAAACAAGACCACGTCACCTTTTCCTTCTTAATTGTCAAGAAATATATTTGAAAACCATTTCAAAACGCTTTAACAGATACCCAGCAGCTTGTGAATACATCCTTGTAAGGTTACGAGGATTAGAAACAACCTATAAAAATCTCCAGGGATAAAGCCTGGTCTACTGCAGGAGCCCTGGTGGCACAGGGGTTAAGCGCTCCGCTGCTGACCAAAAGGTTGGCAGTTCAAATCCACCAGCCGCTCCTTGGAAACTCTATGGGGCAGTTCTACTCTGTCCTGTAGGACTGGGGTGGAATCGACTCGACAGCAATGGGTTTTTCTTTCTTTTTAAAACTGCAGTTAAGTTCCTAAGTGATCCCTGTGCAATCCCCCTGACCCCTTCCAATCTGATTTTCACAAAAAAACAGCATGGTCTCTTAAGAACGCAAGTCTGATCAGTAATCCCTCCCTACCCCGTGGATTAAAACCTTTTAGTCATTTCCCACTACCTTTAAGAGACAAGGAGCCCTGGTGGCCCCGTGGTTGAGAGCTATGGCTGCTAACCGAAAGGTCAGCAGTTCGAAACCACCTGGCACTCCTTAGAAACCTTATGGTGCAGTTCTACCCTGTCCTAAGGGTCGCTAAGATGACTCAAGGGCAACAAAGCCCTGTGTGGTCTGGACTCCGACTAGCTCCATTCTGTACCATGCACTTCCTTGTAGTACTCCGGACTCACTGACGTTTCCACCTCTCAGCCCTAGCGGGCTCTTTCCTGTCTCCTGACCCAAAGCCTTCGCTGCTCCTTTGCCTGGAACACTCCCGCTCCTCTCCATGTCATTAACTTCCCCACTCATCCTTCAGACAAGTACACTTTTATTTCACGAACTCTTCAACGGAGGTTACTATACGGTAGGCACCAGTCTAAGCACTTTACAAATATTAGCTTATTTAATATTTCTATTAAACACAATCACAATGCTGGGGCTTAGATACTATTTAACAGAAATAGAAAGTGAGGCACAAAATCTTCCCCAAAGTCATACAGGTAGTGAGGAAAGTCTACCTGGCCTACTTACTTCCTGAGTCAAATTTTCTCATTATTAGCTCTCATAATGTCATATATCTCTCCATTATAGCACTTATCACAGTTGTAATAGTACATTTACTTATGTGATGATTTAATTAAGGTCTCTTTTCCCTCCTAGAACATGTGCTGAGCTCTGGCACTGTGTCAGCTTTTGCTCCACACTTCCTATTCAGTGGATAGCACAGTGCCTGACAAAGATCAGGTGTTCAATTAACTTTAACTAAGCTTTTTATTTTGAGATCACCGTGGCTCCACATGTAGTTGCAATAAATAAAACAGAGGTATTGTATACACTTTATCAGTTTCCACAAATGGTAACATCTTGCAAAACTAGAGAATAATATCACAGCCAGGATATTTGACATTGATACAGCCAAGATAGAGAACATTACCATCACCACAAAAAAAAAAAAAAGCAAATCAAAACCACAATGAGATACCATCTCACCCCTGCATTACTGGCACAAATCAAAAAAACTGGAAATAACAAATATTGGAGAGGCTGCAGGGAGATCGGAACTGCTATGCACTGCCGGTGGGAATGCAAAATGATACAACCATTTTCGAAAACAATATGGCGCTTCCTTAGAAAGCTAGAAATAGAAATACCATACAATCCAGCAATCCCACTCCTAGGAATATATCCTAGAGAAACAAGAGCCATCACACGAACAGACATATGCACACCCATGTTCACTGCAGCATTGTAGCATCTGCAACAATAGCAAAAAGATGGAAACAACCTAGATGTCTATCAACAGATGAATGGATAAACAAACTATGGTACATACACACAGTGGAGTATTACACAATGATAAAGAACAATGATGAATCTGTGAAGCATCTCATAACATGGATGAAAATGGAGGTCATTATGCTGAGTGAAATAAGTCAATCACAAAAGGACAAATATTATGAGACCACTACTGTAAAAACTGATAAAAAGGTTTACACCAAAAAGAGACAATCTTTGATGGTTACGAGGGGTGGGAGGGGGGAAATACTAGACAACAGATAAGTGGTAACTTTGGTGAAGGGTAAGACAGTACACAATACTGAGGAAGCCAGCACAGCTTGTACAAGGCAAGGTCATGGAAGCTCCATAGACACATCCAAACTCC